CAGGTAGGGCAGGGAGCAGCAGGGAAGGAAACCTCCATCCCTGGTTCCCCGATTGTGCAGGAAGGGCTGGACCCCCACGGCCCAGGAATGTCATCCAGGCTCCTCTGCTTCTTCCCAGAGATGCTGACAAGCTGCCAGCTGTGCTCATGGCTTGGAATGGGTGGGTTTTTTGTTAAATAATAACCATAAACCCCTAAATGCTGAGAGCACGTGCCAGCTGATGGATGCTGCAGTTCCCCACCCCCTGAAACCAGTGTGCCCAGTGCTCAGCTGGTGCCAGGCAATGCCATCTAACCCTCACTGAGATGAGCCCATCCCAACCCACAGGGACACTCCCCACACCCCAACAATCCCCTCCAACCCCACCCACCTGCCCCACGATAAATAAACAAGTAAAATGTGGTAACAAGACACCTTAAAAAAATAAATCACAATAAATAAATAAGTATAATGTTGTAACAACACACATTAAACTCCTTATGGGACAACCAGGAAGAGTTTAGGATAAAAGCAGGAGGGATTGGACTCGAGGTTCAGGCTGGGAAAGCATCTGAGCTGAATGATTTTGTTCCACGAGCCCAAAGACAGCAGAAGACCAAGAAGGCAGAGCCTACAGAGGGCTTGTGCTCAGTTTGTTGGGCTGTTCCCAGTAATTTCCCCCGCAGCAACAAAAAAATCTGTCCCACCCCAGTGATGCTGCATTTTTATTGCAATTAAAGCATTTCCTTTGAATTGCCTAAAACTTTCTTTTGATTCTTAAGAGGCTTCGTTTGACTCACATAGAAATGTCTTTTGACTGTTTCTCTCTGTTAGGAAGGGGGGAAAAAAATAATAAAAAAAAGAAGAGCAAATAAACTGTTCAACCAAAAAAGTCACCCAATTCTCCCCAGTACCTTGGAGGCTTCAATTAGATCACAGTCTCAGTAAACTCATTAAAGCACCAAGGGTAACAAGCACACGAAATGACCTTCTCTAAAGAGCTTAAATCTTCAAGAAACACAAAGAAAATAAAAATCAAAAGATCGCTCCCGTTTGATGAATGGGGAATTTCTACCCTAAGCCACACAGATCACCTAAAATCAGAGAGAAAATCTGCAGTAAAGTGAGGAATTAAGTTAATTTGTAGCATCCACGACCTCTTAACCCTAACACCAAGTTCCTTGTTATGTGCATAACTGAGGTGGGAAAGGCAACAAACTAAATAATTATGATCTAGGCTGGAGAAAACACAGTTTTCATTTGGAAGCATCACCTTTAAAAGAAGGAGCTTCCACCCTTCTGTCCAAAAGCCCTCCAACCCCTCCACTTCAAATCCCTTTCTGTGCTTCCAATAAAAGAAATATCAGAAAAATCACACTCTGATTTCTGGGAACCACAAGGAACTTCGAGAACCACCACTTGAGCCATGAGGGGAGGGGGAAAAAACCCCCAACATTTACATTTCTGAAGTCCCTTAAAACCCCCCAGTCCCGCAGACACCGACTTCAAAACCCGAGCAGGGAGATGGGGATGAACCCACCAGTGCTGTGATCCACGCTGGGAACACACCACACCCAATTAACACGGGTTAATTTGGCTCCTGGACACGAAGTTAAAGCTTGCTGGGAGGTTTTGAGAACTGATGGTGGCTCGTGTTGTCTAAAAAAAACCCGGAGTGAGAATGATTGTGGGTTAAAAACGTCATTCCGAGGGTGTTTTCGGGGGGTGTTTTCAGGGCTCTGCTCCAGGGGGGTTCATGTGGGTTTTCATGTCTGCAACAGCAGGAGCTGAGCTGTGTCATCGCTGGGAAACCAGAGTCTGGTCAGAGTTACCCTGAAATTCTGACTCAGAACACCACAAGAACCTAAATATCCCAATGTACCCCACAGATCTTTGTCTGTCTTCTGGTGAAGAAGCTCCTTTTCCTATAGGAACATCCTCGTTTCCAAGAGCCAGTGGAAAAATAACTGTGAGGTCCTTGGGATCTAAATCCAGTCCCCAGAGCAAAGGTCACTGCAGAAATGTTTTATTCAGCATAAGAACTTTTGGAATTCTTTCAAGGAGAAGAAAAAAAAAAACACCACCAACAACCACATGGCCGACATTTCTTTCCCACTGAACTGTTTCTTCCTTTCCAAACAGGGATAACAAGTCCCCTGGACTTGGGGAACACCAAGGAACTGTGTCTGCCTCCAGCAGTGAAGAGGTAAAGCAGCACAACAGTCTGAGAATTGACTTCTGGAAGGCCAAAAAGTGAGGAGAGAAACAAATAAAGGAGAAATCACTGTACTGCTGGTGGAGGATGTTCAGTTAGTGGCTGAACTCGATGACCTCGGAGATCTTTCCAGCCTCAATGATCCTGTGATCCTATTCCATGAAAGCCCTGGTCCTGTTTCCCTGTGCACACCCTGTTTAGACACAGCTCTGCACAACACAAATGCATTTTTGCCATCCCTTCTCTCCCCACCTCACTTGTTTCACTGCTCTGGGGACCTGTCACAACGTAGCAGCCGTGTTTTTACATTTACCTATCACTTCAAACAGAGGAAAAAACACCTTCATTCCAATTGTTACTTAAAGAAAACCCGTAGTTTGTTTTAAAATAAATAAAAAAACCCCCCACACCATGAAAGAAATAACGAACTGAAAATCTTATTTAGTGACCCCCATGATCACAAGGGGTGCAAACTGCAGTTCAGAAATTCAGTTCCACCTGCTACCAAGTCCTTAAGCATGAAAGTTTTCCTGCAAAGAAGCCACATAAAGCCCCCTCCTAAATAAATAACAGCAGTGCTGCCCAGATCCCCGAGTTCTGAGCACGCAGGACTCTGCAGAAACGTTTTCTGCTTGCTTGTAAGACGAAAAAAATTCGCCCCACTGTGTGTATTTTGGGTGAGTGGGCTGGGCAGCTGAACTCCCAAGCAGTTGTACTTATTGCTGTGGGAATATGGGAGGGTGACAGACCAGCCAAGGGTTCCTCTGTGCCCACAACTCTGGTGTTGTACCTGCATTGCTTGTGTTGGTTCTGGTGCAGTGCCCAGGATCAGCCCTGGCTGCTCAAGCCTTGTTTGACTGGGTGAAGAGGGGGAACAGAAATAACTGTACAGGAGAAGGAGTCACTGCTTGACACTGCACAGGTTAGTGGTAAAAAAAAAAGAGAAATATTCAGCTTTGAGTTTAGCTTTTGTTCCCCACTCTGTTCACTAAGCCGTGTCCCCTCCAGAGAGCAGAGCAGATCTGGAGTCATTTCTGAACCTGATTGAGTGAGTGCCTTTAAACCCCAAAGCAGCAGCTTTATCAGGCTGGCTCCCTTCCTTCCCTCATCCGTCCTTGCTGAGCTCCAGATTCCACGTGCAATTGAGACACACACAGAGGGATGAAAGGGAAGGACCAACACACAGAAATAAAGTGCCAGCCTGAACCTCGAGGATGCTTCCATGCCCAGGGAATGCCTGTTCCTGTTAGCAGGAAGTTCTGGGCTTAGAGCAGAACTTAGGAAAGGTTTAGGGCTCACTGAGCACTCAGGTCCCCTGTGATGCACATTTTACACTCAATTGTTCAAAAGAACAACCCCGTGGTTTCTAAGAGTTTCCCCTCCCATTGCCTTTTACATCAGCAGGTCTCAAATCCTCACAGAAAGCATCAGAACCTTCATTTTGCACAAGGCTGGACAGCTTGCTCAGGAGGACAAAAATTCAGGTAAGGGTAGGAACTACCCCTTTCCTGGGCTTAACTCCCAGGCAAAGACAGTGCCTGACATCATTCTGCTCCTCCAGCAGCAACACGGGCTTTACAAAATTCAGACTTCAGGTTGGAAAGCTCCCAAATGCAGATTTCACAGCAAACATCAACACAGCCAAAAATAAGCTCGAAATTTCTTAGGAAAGGTCAAGATGGCACATCTAAGACTTGTGCTTCCAGTCAGGAAACTGCCCCCCACACCCACCCAACCAGCCCAGCTCCAGCTCTGGCCCCAACCACAACTTGTAAGTACAGAATTAAAAGGGGAAACCACGAGTGGAAGAACCCCATCGCAGCAGAGTTCCAAAATTATTTAGATTTACCAGGAGGAAAAAAATTAAGGAAACAATTGTAGTTCTTTATTCAAACCAGCTTGGCCACTTCTGAATGCCAAAGAAAATTCACAAGCAACACCACAACAAAATAATGCTTATTAGGCTGGAGATGGAACACACCAGACACAGACAGACATAAAAACTGAATCCACAATCAATCCACTCCAGCAGCAACTCTCCACTGGCCCCTCGTACCAGCTGCTTCAGGGAGAAGGAACTCTTTAAACATCACTGCAGAATAATCTGGGGGGAAACATTTCTTCCTGGCTCTTCCTTATTTACTGTTCTCCTTCTGGAGCCCTTGCTTGTTTGTGCTCCTTTCTGAAACAGCTCTGCCTATTCTGATTTTTCCTGTCTGAACCTTGCTGAGCTCCAGATCTCAAGCCCTGCTGACCCAGCGAGTTCCACAGGCAAGTTTTCCCACACCAAACACAACCTTTAACGTACCAGGTCACGATTTAGCAAACTGCTGCTCTCCCCTACTGATGTTATTACCTGTAAACTGGCAAGAGAACCTAGACCTGAGCAATATTTGAAGCAGCTGTTCTGCCTAAAATTGTTCAGACTGTCAGTTTTAATCCCCCCAATGTGTCCCACCTTTGCCTTTACCCCTTCCTTCCTCCCCACATCTCTGCAAAAGCATTGTTTTCTTTTCGTTAAGGAACATCACTGAAGCTGCCAGGCTGCTCAGAGCTTTATCTCCCCTCAATAATCCGGTTGGATCACATCCCCTGGGAGCAGGAAGTGCATTCCAGGTGCACACGGGGAATATTCGGCCCCCCATAAAAACGACACCGGCGGAAAAATAAACCTCGACAATCGATTGAAAAACTAAACATCAACTTTGTCAAGGGGCAGAGACCGACGGACAACCAGCAGGAAAGATGGCTCAGAGTGGGAACAACAATTCTGGGATGCTTTTGTGGGAGCAGGAAGGTTCATCTCCTACCTGTCGATGATCACGGGGTCGGACGGAGTCTCGTTCCTGTTGCCACAACTTTTCTTCTCGCAGCACCGGCTGGAGAGGGAAAGAAAACCCAAATTAAAGAACTGCTGGGACAGCTCACAGCAGAGGAACCAGAGAAAATATTCCAGCAAACCCTCGGGGCTCCAGAGGGGTGGGAATTCTGGCTGGGCGTTCCAGAAGGGAGAAGAATTAAGGGAGTTGGGTGCCCAAGTCCTGGCTGGTCCCACCCGGATTTGGGCACTTGGATCCCTGCGACCCTTTTTTGGATTTCCCAGCCAGAAATGAGCAGCAAGATGGTCACACTTTAGACTAAAATGATATTTAGAAATGCAATAAGTGATTAACAGATGTCATAATGTCGTTACAGGCACGAGCAGCACCTGTTGTGGAGGGTTAAAAGTCCATCAAAAGGTGTTAGAACTGACTATGAGCAGCCTAATGGTTTGTTCTACTGCAATAACTGATTTTTTGATCATTAAACATCGAGTAGCCCCTAAGTTTTATGCTCAACTTAAGTTTAAACTTCAAGGCTAAATGAAAAACCAGAAGCTGAACCCACTTAGGTCCCAGTAAGGATCTGAAGGGATGTTTTCCAGGTTGGCATTTGCAATCCCTTTGCAATTCTTTTAGTGATGATAAGACCTTAAGATTAAGCATATATTTATACACTTTTTATAATAATAATAATAATATTAATTAATTCAAAAATAATATTAAAATCAAGAGACAATTTATCTTTGTTTTAATTTATATACCCTTTGACATGGGTGATGCTCCTTGCACACAGAGCAGCTGAGTACCAAAAGTTTAATAGGCTTTAAAAACAGTCTTTACTCCGAAAAAAAAAAAAAAAAAATCACAATTTTAATAATTTGTAGCAGCACAAAAATCTGTTTAAAGCTTGAAGCTGTTTTCATGCTCGAGGAGATTGTTCCAACCAAAGCCAACAGGGGAAGGGGAGGATGGAGGCCCCCAAAACTTTAAGAAGACTCTCTTAGAAGCCCAGTATCCCTCAAAAATCCCCAGATCAGGTTGTGCCTTAAGTTACTCAAATGTCTTTCCCAGTGATGTTTCATCCTGCAGAGATTATTCAAATTTACACACGAAATGGAGAAATTCTTCAAGGTTTTGTACAGGGGTGTGAGAGGTGCTGAATACACCCGTAGAAGTCTCCAGTCAGTCTGAATCCCACAGTTTTCCAGCCAGGAAGCAGAGGGATCAAAAATAAAATTAAAAAAACCCCAATAATTTCAAGAAAATACTTGAACTCACTGAAGGCAGCATAAAATATGGAAGTGGCTTTTTTTTTTCCTTGATATGCCTAATATTCAATTATAACCCCCTAAAACAAGCAGTTAGACAAAAAACTCTCTCAGATATGAAAAATTCCAAGTGCCTGAGTTTCCTCCTGCACTTGCAGGGTGTTCCCAGGAATCTCCTGTTCCCAGGAACTGCCCGGTGAGACGAGCTGGAAGTGGCAGCTCTGTTTGAATAACAGCTCCACGTGTTCCAACATTCCTGCATTGCCTCAAACCCGCACTTATTCATCGATGCCAGTCCTTTTAAAATAAAAGGAGACACTAAATATTTAAAAATCCCTGGGGCAGCCCCTGGAGCTGCTGTAAATTGTCAGGGCTCCATCGACTTCAGTGCAGCTCTGGAAATTCATACCAGCTCAGAATATCCCACTCCCTCCTTCTCCCCAACTTTATTTTTAAGTGCCTCTTTTATGTATTTCCCCCTCCCCCCGCTCTAAGAGTCGTTTCTAAAGAACGGGGGTATTTTTGTGCTGAAAGCCAGGATGTGAGATGTTTTCTGAAGGAGAAAATAATAATAAACCCACCCCAAAAAAAGCAGAGGACCCTCTCAGAATAACAGAAATTTGGCATGTTCTCTGACATGTCCGATAGAAGGAGGCATCGAAAATAACACTGGGAATAAATGCCTTGCTGGTTCATGTGTCCCTGTAACAAAGCAACAAAAGGAACTCAATTTTAAAGATATTTCTGTCGTGTTCCCTTTGGGTTTTTTTACAGCTGAAAGAGCAGTTGCTTCCCCTCTTTGCCATGAGATGAAATGAAATCTCCTTTACTCGTGCAAGTTTTGCAGGTGGCTGTTAAAATAATTCTGGTTGCCCTGCGCCACAGGAACGTTCAGGGATCCACCAGCAGCACCTGAACCACAGCCCAGCACCTCATCCACGCTTCCAGGGATGTTGCCATTCCTTGGCAGAGATTTTTAGGATGAGTTACGTGAGACTGAACCTATCTGGGTTCTGCAATAAGTGCATCTTGGTTTATTTTCCTTTTTCCCAATTACTGCAGTTCTGAACTTTACATTTTTAATATATAAACTTGCAGCCGAAGCTCTCCAAGCATTTTACCAACATCTACATTCTTTATCACTTTGGGGTCACTGATTTTTCTCAGAGTGATGGGTTTTGTCCCCTTTGACTGTAACACTTCTGGAGCCCAGATCCATGTGAAAACCAGTCCTGATTAGGGAGAAGAGTCACTGGCAGAGGATGAGCAGGCAATCAGTGGGACTGAGGATGCTTCAGCCCAACATTTTAGCATTTAAATGCCCATTTCCAAGTGTTCCACCTCAGTATCCAGCGCCAACATCGCCACTGGTTTGTTCCACAGGTGCTGCCTGGAACACAGTGAACTCATTCCAATTCCAGTCCACCCCAAAAACCCCAAACTCTGGTGGTCCAGGGTCAAACCTATAATATTCTCTTTGAATATTCTCCAGAAAGCCAAACTTACATCCTCACACTTGCCTAAAATGGCTTTAAAAATTCAGCTCCCAACTTCCCCTCACCCCAACACCAAAATAAAAAGAAATAAAAAATAAATCTCTCTAATTTCAAACTCAAAGAAGTGGTCCAGGGTCTAACCTACAAGATTCTCTTCGAGCAAATTATTGGGGTGACTTCCCCAATATTTACATTTCTGCTACAATGTTGGGCTTTAGAGATGCTCACTTGCTTAAGACAAGAATATCAAGGCCGAAGACTTCTATTTTCAACACTTTTGGTTGCTATACTTTCTCCTCTAATTAGATTTCTATGATGAAAATGGTGGTTTATGTTTTGAATGGTCTGGGAAAAAACTAAAAACAAACCCAGAAAACCAAAAGCTCCAAGAGACAACACCAGCTCCACAAACTGAGTGTCCAGAAGGTCAAACTTGCATCCTCACACTTGCCTAAAACGGCTTTAAAAATTCCCCCTGTTCTCACCCCACCACCAAAATAAAAAGAAACAAAAAATAAATCTCTCTAATTTCAAACTCAAAGAAGTGGTCCAGGGTCTTTGAGTAAATTATTGGTGTGACTTCTCCCATATTTACATTTCTGCTACAATGTTGGGCTGGGAACACACCTTTAGAGATGCCTCAGACAAGAATATCAAGGCTGAAGGCTTCTGCTTTCCACACCTTTTGTTGTTATACTTTCTCCTCTAATTAGATCTATATCAGGAAAATGGTGGTTTGTGTTAGGAAGAGACAACACCAGCCCTGCAATTCGAGCGTCCAGAGAGCCAAACTTACATCCTAAAACGGCTTTAAGAAAATTCAGCCTCCGACACCAAAATTAAAAATAAATAAATGAAATAAATAAATAAATAAATAAAATAAATAAATAATAAGTAAATGAAATAAAATAAATAAATAATAAATAAATAAAATAAATAAATAAATAAAATAAAAATAAAATGAATAATAAATGAAATAAATAAAATAAATAAAATAAATAAATAAAATAAAAATAAATAAAATAAATAAAATAAATAAACAAAATAAAAATAAATAAAATAAATAAAATAAATGAAATAAATAAATAAAAATAAATAAGTAGATAAATAAATAAGTAAATAAATAAATAAATAAAAAATCTGTCTCTAATTTCAAACTCAAATAAGCTCACAGCATGGTGGCCTCTGTTTTGTTTTCTTCTCCCCCAACTCCTCCCTGCAATTGCATAACAAAAGTGTCTAAATTCACACCATCTGGCCGATAAAGACACGGGCCCCAGCGGCCGCCTGGCCCAGCTGATTAGAGCTCCCGCCTAGTCTGAGCCTTGTGGCGAAAGTCACAGCTGTGGGGCTCGCTCGCACTCAATACAACTCTGTTATTAGCCAGCTGTAGGCCTGAGACTACTTCTGTTCAAATTATAATACCTTTTAACCCTCTGAGCATTGAGGGCAGAGGGGGCTGCTGGCAGCAGCATAACAACGACTTTCCTCTTCGTCGATAATTGGGAGAAAGAGAAGAAGAGATGGGGGGGGCGTAGGGGGGTGGAAATAAAGTTATTCCGGCGGAGGAGAGTGTTTACCTTGATTTCCAAGCGGGGTTGTGTTATTCTATATAAACCTACCTATGGCAGGCTGGAATAATGGGAAAAAATAGAAATAATGGAAATGGGAAAATTTCGGAGGGGCAAAGAAAGAAAGAAATAGAGCCTCGCCCGGAAAGCACTGGTTGTTGGGAGCTGAGGGGTGAACTTTCCAGAGTTTGTGACAGATTGGTGCAGCCACATCAATATTTAGACAACTTTCCTGCTAAGATGCATCTGTCACCGTCTGGGGGGGGAAATGCTGAGTTTTGAGTGTGTTTGTCCCTAGAAAGCAAAAATATCTGTGTGTGTGATCATAAAAATGACCCCCTCCAAAAAAAAAACCGACACCCTACCTTCAACCAGTGGAAGAAGAGCAGAAAGACAGACAGACCCTTCTTGTTTTTTCCTTTTTAAAAGCAGGAGGCATCAGCTTGGACAGCGGAGTGGGTACAGTGCATTAAATTTTTATCTACTGTTCCTAATGCGAACTAAACCAGGGCCTTTAAAAATTGATGCCGCCACTTAAGGAGCTCACAATGAGGGAGATTTGATTATTGTACTTAAAAGAAATGAAATAAAATGTCAAGTTCGGCTCGAGCCGGAGCCGCTCCCTTGGCGTTATTCAAAGCGATGCCTCTTCAGAGCACCCGGCGGAGGCACTCGAGGAAAACGCGGCGTTTAAAACTCAAATGTCTTGATTAGGTTACAGAACGCCTTTGATTTCCTGCGCTGATCTGTGTTTTCCCCGGCAAGGACGTCCCCGAGTTGCGATTCTTCCTGGATGATCCATCGGGCAGGAGAGCTCGGCGTAATCAGAATAACGGGTTGGATTTTGTGCAGCCTCAAATCGAGCACGGGGGGTGGGGGGTGTTTACAGGCATCAGGTACCTCCAACAGGGCATTTGGTGCCAGAAAGGCAGGGCCAAGAAGCAAGAGAAAAGCCAGATTGATTTGGATTCCAGCAAGTCCGTTTGGATGAGGAGGTGCTGGAATATTTTAAGCCAGAGCTGCGCTTTGCACAGGAAGAGTGGGGAGGGATGAAGTGTGGCCACTGCTATTTTATTAGCACAAAGCACGACCTAATTGCACAATGCAGGTTTTTCTTCTCTAGTGCCCACCTAGCTATAGTGAAGACTTTGAACAGTATAGATTTATATATATATTATATATATTAAATACAATACACAAGTTCTAGATGTGCCAGAAAGTAACTTATAGACCTCTGATCTTTGCTACCACATCTACAGGTCCTTGTAAAGCCCATCCTCTGCATCCCTCATATGTGATATACATTGTGTTGGGGCATAAATATGGAAATGTTGGTCAAAAGCTCGGTTTTTTTAATTAATGAGAGCTAAGCACAAGAGATAAATAATATACATAAACTTGATTGTTATTATATAAAGTAACAAAATCATTGAAATAATTAAGTACCGAAACTGAGACTTTCCCTTGATAAAAATCTGCCCAAATAAGCTGCTCTTAACTTAAAAGAAATAAAAAAAAAAATATTAAAAATAAATAAATAAAATCAAGTAGCAAACTGCACCATTAAAAGAAGCAACGCTCAGTCTGAAAACTTAACCCTCTCCCACCGATACAAAAAACCCCAACCCGTGTTTAATAAAGGTCAGGACTGGGGTTTGCCTCTCGTGTTATGAAGGAACATTCTATGCACAATTTAACATGTTTTAATATAAGAACACTGGCTGTTTGCACTGTTGTATGTATTGAAAAAAAAATTTCATTACAAGAGGGCAGGAAAAGTAATAAGTTACCATGGAAGCACGATGTACATACATGGGGTACATGTAACTTCAGACTTACACAAATGTTATTAAAAACATCCTCGTTTTACCCTCTGATTTATAACTTTACATGCTAAAATCGTGTGTATTTTTAATTAAGAAGTGGAAGCCCCCTAAATATTGTTCGCACGCAGAGGAAGGAAGGGTTTGTGTTTTGGTTCGAGGGGTTTCTCTTTTGGTGGGGGCAGAATTAAAGAGCACTGATGATGTCACTTTAATTGAGGAAAAATTAAAATAGTTCACCAAAGAAAATGGCACAAAACTGCCCTGTAGTTTCCAGGTAAAAATATACAAGTTAAACTGCTCTGTTCTCATAAGGTGAGAAGGAATTTTGTAAGAAATCAGCATCTAAAAGTCTCCATTTAAAGAGCACATGCAAAGGCCTGGTTTAAACAAAACCAGCACAGCTGTGGTTGCTAAATCTCCTGCAGGGAAAAAAAAAAAAAGGCATAAAAAAGGGCAAAAAACGCCCCAAATATCTGTTTTGAACCCAAATCAAGTATTACCCACGTGTAAAAAAGAAAGTCTTCCTACACAAAGAACTTCTCTGCGTCAACAGCGAAACAAATAAATACGAAAATCAAACTCTTCCTACCTACAAGTTCATCAGAAAGGCCTTTTTTGGCATCTAGGGAAGCAAATAAAGTCATCTTACCTGCACATAACTTCGTGGGTGAGCAACACTCTGCACATCTCGGGGTTCTTGTTCTGTCCCTCATAAGTTATGGGCTGCAAAAACCAGGTGAAAGGGGTAAGCCAGGAGCATTATTTATAATAACGTTCAGGTGTGAGGGGAAGGGTTTTTACCACTGCTCAGGCAAATAAACATCTCCCCCCCCAAAGCCTTTATGTGCAGGGAAAGCAGCTTTACAGAAATATTGGGGCAAAGGGGATAAAACCTACAGTTCATAGAGGGGGGGAAAAAGAGTTTGAAGAGTATTATTTTTCAATTCACCTCAAAACCAGGTGTGTGATAGAGCTGAACAAGAGACAAAAATGGAGCAGAGGAATAAAAGCAGGCAGGGAGACGTTGAGGAGAAAGGAAGGGTGAGGTGGGGCAGGGTAAGAGGGCACATCCCAGCTCTGCTCACCTGCTTGGTGACCGAGTCGATGAGCCTGACATAGAGATCCTGCTCGGTCCTGACACCTACAGCGAGGGAGAGGAGGAATAAACAGGGTTGGGACGGGCGCCTTTCCCTCCCCACCAGCACAAAACCCCTTTAGTTTCAGTATTAAACCTTAATATTTCATCATTTACCTTTATTAGACGCCCTCACCAAGCCCGGGGAGTTTTGTTTCCCCAAGCCCAGGTAAAGTCCAGGGCCCATCCCAGCGCTGAAGGGGCCTCGTGGAGGGGGATTTCTGGGGATTTTAGGGATCAGAGGCAGCACCTCCAGCCTTTGCAGGCTCCGGGAGGGCTGGGAGGGGCACTCACCGTTGCTGTAGAGGAGCTGCAGTTTGTAGTGTGTGCCGTTGTTCGTCTTCTCGTTGCCTTGCTCCTGAGGGGGAATTAAAGAAAAACCCTTCCAGAACTTCCACTTGGCACATTTAAAATGCAAGAGAGCTGATAAGCGTGATGGAAGTGACAACAAAGTTCATTAAAATTCCAAGAGGTGAATCCACTGATTGGGATGTATTAACCTTCCAAGTGACCCAGGACAAGCTACAAAATACTGCTGACATCTTTTCCTGCAGGAGTTCAAGAACTTCTCTCCCTCTCTTATTTGCCATTGTGCTCTCAACTTTTTTCAAGGCAACACCTTGAGAAGAATTTGTGCATTTCAAATCTAAAGCAGGGGGAAAGCTCAGTGAGTTTGGTTTCTGACCTGTTATTTTGAGTCATTATTGAGATTTGTTTCCTGAAGGTTGTGTTACAGGGATGTTTCTTGCTTGTTTTGGTTTTTTTTGTTTTTTTTTTTTTAAACAGCAATTTCCTATAAGATAGTTATTTATGATTCACAATTTTTAAAAAATCTTGTCCCTGGCTAAGAAAATAATTGAAAAAAAATGCAAAGTGGTCAAGACACGGATTTCAAAACAAAAAGCAAATGCTTTTCAAGTCCTGCCAGTTATCCTGGACTCTTAAGAAATATATATAATCAACCTCAGCAGAGAATATGACATATTACAGGTGAGATTCCACTTCTGTTCAGGTACTAATAAAGATCTAATAGGTACGAAAAAAAGAAGTGCATTTACCCCCTATGAATTTTATTTCATTTTTAGTGGGTGTATGAAATTCCCACCGTGTTCCTGACATAGCAGTGGCTTCCAAGCTTTTTCAACTACAGCAGCACAAAGAGGGCAACAGCTCCAGGAAAGCACCTGAACCCTGAGCAAGCTCTGGTTGTGTTTTGTCAGGGACAACAGGTATCACAAGTTATCAGCTCAGTGTGGGGGGGAGGAAGATTAAATTTGGAGAGGAGAAGAGGAAGAAGAAAGGTAACAAGCCTTACTTTATCATTTTCTACAAAGTCCACAAAAGCTGTCCTCTCTATTTCCACGGGCTGCCCCTGTCTGTCGTAGAGAGCCAGAACAAAGTGAAAGAAATTGGATTTCCTCAAGTTGGAGGGTGGCTGCTTTTCAAAGTGGGCTCTGGACAAAGCTACTCCGCTGTGGAGGAAACACACGGGATGGGGTGAGGGGGGAGAGACAAAGACATTACCAGGTTGTGCAGCAGTAACAGCAAAACAACAGAAAAGGCAGGACACGCTCGTTCTGTCCCCGGTCCCCGCCGGGAGCCGGGCGGGACGGGGCTGTCACTGAGGTGGGAGTTCGGCTTTCCCCGAGGACAACAATCATTTACAGCCCCTCGATGTTAGAGAAGTTATTGCTAAATGCACTCAGTGTTCCCCTTCCTCCTCTACCTGTTTTCTCGCCCGTCACACTCGTGGCTGGAATGCAGCAGGGTGGGAAGTGGCTGCAATGCAGCAGGGTGGGAAGTGGCTGCAGGGTGTCGGAGAGTCTGGAAGTGCTCCCTGCACATCCCAGTCCCTTTTCCCGCAGGCAAAACTAAGCGACCTTAACATCTTCCCTACAGGCACGCTGTCAACTCGAGGACACCCACATTTTGGGCAGAGACAACGAGTTTCAAGCAGGGCAGCCACTTTTCCTCAGCAGCGAAGTTTGTCTTTAGTCACTGAGTTACTTGAACCGATTCCCGGGACTTCAGTCTCTGATTTAAACGGAAAGAATTTAGAGCCGGGTTAATCAGCCCTTGCCCAAATCTTGTCCCTGAGTGCTGAAAATGCAGGGATGTTTCCCACGCATTTCTCGGCTTGGAAAGATTCAAATGCTTTTGCTTACCCGCAGTATCCCTCGCTGCAGCTTTATTTCTTCATGAAACTAATTGTAGCTCCCTCTCCCTAAAGCCGGTTTCTACTTACTGCAGAGGAAATAGGCGCACATGAGCACCTCCGTGTCACTTAATAGACAGATTAAGCGTCTGACAGCCTAGTTAAGAGTCAGAACATCTTTGTTTTTCAGTCCCCAAAACAGCTCCACAGCACTGACAAAAGTATTTTGACTCTTTGGGAGAACCGCAGATGTTTCCCCGTGTTTCCCTCGCCAAATAGGTACGGTGTGAACTCACCACATCCGCCACAACTGCACCCAGTTTGGGGCTTCCTCTCATTCTGCGTGTAAAAACTCGCGTTTCTCGGTTTATTACGAATCTCTGCAGAAAAACCCGGCGGTGCCAGCGGGCAGCACGACCTCGGGCTGCACCTCCACCGCTCCCGTGAATCAGAGGCTTCTCAGGAGCCGCTTCCTTTTACTTTCGGTTTCCTCGGGAATAAACCTCCTTCCCCTCAGTCGTATTTATTAAAGGGTCTATCGACATCCATAAAACTCTGATAACTCCTCCCCTGGCGCTTGGAAAACCTCGCTCCCGGATCAGGCCGTGGGTGGGGGCACGGATGTACTATTTCTAAAACGTCCCTGTTTCAGCTGAAGTCCCATCTGCTGTTTCGTGCCCTTCACCTTGTCTCCCTACTAAATAAAACCCGACTTATTCCCGGGGTTCCCAATTTAGCCTTCCCCGACGCTGCTACTTTTTTCTTTTCTTTTTTTTTTTTTTTTCCTTTTTAACTTCTTTTTTTTAAGGCTGTTCAGAGGCCGAGGAGGAAAATAAAATATCTAAAAGGGTTTCGTCCTTTTACCCCTAACGGGAAGAGACTGGAATAACTGTCCTGTGCCGACTCGGCTGGGAAGAGAAAATAAAAGAGGGGCGTGGGGGGAGATAACTCGCCCAAACAAGTAAAGAACAAACAGTTTCGGGGTGTTCGCTGGCATTTGGGCTCAGCAGAGACCTCTCGGACACTCGGGCAGGTGCTCCGGGCAGAGGGATGCCCGCGGGGCTCCGGGATATCTGTGCCCTCCTCTGCTCACCCAGAGCCTGCTCTGCCTGCCTGGTTTAGTCTGTCACCCGCCTCGAACCCACGGGTGAACATTTCGGCAACGGCCACGGCGAATTAAGTAAAACAAGATGGGCCGGGGGTTTGGGGGGGAAGATCCACATTTCAGTTAATTCTGACTCGGTCCCCTCCTATCCGGCTGCGTGACCCGGGAAGCGGGAAGGAGTGTTCTGTATCTCCGGGTACAACCAACCCACTCCCCCAGCATCTTCCTGGTGCAGAAAATGAAAGAAGGGTCCGATCTCGCTGTCATCTGAGCCCCTGCACGGGTTTTAGAACTGATGCTCTCTGGTTTTGGAGGGCTTCTCCCTTGCTCTACTGCTACCACCTTCAATTTGCACTGACTAGAGGAGACCGGGAGCGGGACAGAAAGGGAGAGAGTAAATTTAATATCAAATGAAAACAACAAGGAGTAAAGAAAAGGCTTGTTTAAAAAAGAAAAAAAAAAAAGAAAAAAAGAAATAAAACGCAGGGGGAAAGCGGGGGAGAAATAGTCACGGTTACCTTTGTGCTGCTACGTTTGCATCCACAACCCCAACGTTTCTGACCCAGGACCTGACGGAATCCATCTCAGAACCTAGAGATTTATCTTTCAGAATTGGTCCTCTTCCTAAAGTATCTTGAATCCCAAACATTTAAAAAGTCTATTCCAACTAGCAACAGTTTCCTTTCGGGAGATAAAGGAGAAGGGAAGAAAAAAAAAAATACAAAAAAAGAAAAGCAAAAACGACGCAGCCTTTGAGTCCGACACACACAAATCCCGGGAAAGCGAAGTTCAGCTTTGAAACCAACTTCTTCTGCTTTTTGACGCTGCGCGCTTTTAACGCCTTCGAATCGGGGCAGAAAGTTTCTCCTCTTGCCGAGCAGAAGTTACGCCGATGGAGCCTCGCCCGGTGCCACCATCCTTCGAGGAGCGAACCGCGTCCGCCAACCGGCCGCCGCTAACGAGGATCACCTGTTTCTCAACAGACGCGGCGGGGAGAAAGGATTGATCGCCGCCTAATCCGGGAAGGGGGGGGTGGGAAACACCAGGAGGGGGGTGGATAAATCGTCGGCAGGGAGGCGAAGGGACGGAGCGGAGCCGAGCAGCGCGTGGTCCCTCCCGCGCCCGCGCAGCGCCCGCGCCATCAATGGCACAGGGCGGCGGCGGGAGCGCGCAGGGGGCGGGGCCCGCCGCCCAATAAGGCGATCTCATTTGCATCCCGCGCCGTGATTGGGTGAGGCGGGAGGCAGAGCCACGCCCCCTCCCTCATGCCCGCGCCGGGATGTCGCGATAGGGGAGAGGGGTGTCGGGATGGGGGGGATGGCGGGGGGGCACCGGCGGCCCAGAGAGGGACCCCCGAGCTGGGCGAAAAGCGGCGGGGCCGGAGCGGGAGGAGAGCGCGGTGTGTGCCCGCGGCACCGCCGGGCACGGGCTGGGAACGGCGGGGCTGTGGAGATGGGGGATTGGGATGGGGTACGGGATGAGGGATCGGGATGGGAGATCGGGATGGGGTATGGGATGGGGTACCGGGGTTAGGGTACGGGATGGGAGATCGGGATGGGAGATCGGGATGGGGTACGGGATGGGAGGTAGGGATGGGGTACGGGATGGGGTACCGGGATGGGAGATCAGGATGGGGTACGGGATGGGGTACCGGGATGGGGGATCGGGATGGGAGATCGGGATGTGGTACCGGGATGGGGCACGGGATGGGGTACCGGGGTTAGGGTACGGGATGGGAGATCGGGATGGGGCACGGGATGGGGTACTGGGATGGGGGATCGGGATGGGAGATCGGGATGGGGTACCGGGATGGGAGATCGGGATGGGGTACCGGGATGGGGGATCGGGATGGGAGATCGGGANCGGGATGGGAGATCGGGATGGGGTACCGGGATGGGGGATCGGGATGGGAGATCGGGATGGGAGATCGGGATGGGGCACAGGATGGGAGATCGGGATGGGGTACGGGATGGGAGATCGGGATGGGGTACGGGATGGGAGGTAGGGATGGGGTACCGGGATGATCCGGCAGCCCCGCACAGAACGGTCCTGCCACTGAACGCACAAACCGGGCTGAAAGCAGCGGGGCCGGAGCAGGAGAAGCGCTCCCCGTGCCCGCCCCGGCACCGCCGAGCCCAGGCAGGGCGACCGTGGGTTTATCGCGATGGGTTGTCGTGATGGTTTATGGTGATGGCCCGGCAGCCCCGCACAGAACGGTGCTGTCCGAGAACGCATAAACTGTGCTAAAATCAGCGGGGCCGGAGAGGGGGGAGCGGGAGAGGCACTCCCGGTGCCCGCCCGGGTACCGCCGAGCCCGGGCAGGGGAAGCGCGGGTTTGTCGTGATGGGTTGTAGTGCTGGGTTATCGTTCTGGGTTACAGTGGTGGGTTATCGTGCTGGGTTACAGTGCTGGGTTATCGTGCTGAGTTACGGTGCTGGGTTATCGTGCTGGGTTACAGTGCTGGGTTATCGTGCTGGATTACGATGCTGGGTTGTCGTGCTGGCCCGGCAGCCCCGCACAGAACGCCCAAACTGGGCTAAAAGCAGCGAGGCCGGAGCGGGAGAACCGCTCCCAGTGCCCGCCCTGGGGCAGCCGCAGCCCGGGCAGGGGAATGATGATTTATCGTGATGATTTATCGCGATGGCCCGACAGCCACACACCGGACGGTGCTGCCCCAGAAGGCACAAACTGCGCCTCCAAAGCAGCGATCGCTGTAAGACTCTGCCCGCGCTGCGCTGCCAAAGCCACCGCACAGGTTTAGTTGGCTGATTTGGTTTCGGGCGCGGGATTTAAAAATAAAAAGTGCTCGGAGGGAGAGAAATGGGTCCACGGGGGGGTTGTAGGAAGGGGCTGCCTGCAGGGCAAGAGCCAGGCAGACACTGCGAGGCACCCGGCAGAGCCCGGAGTTATACCACGCGAGCTGTCAGACATCGCCTTAAAACTTTTTATAACATCCCGTGAAGGCAAAATTTCCCATTAAAGGAAACTGGAGCTCGCCCCAGCCCAGCCCGCTGTGACCCCGGACGATACCTACGCCTGCATTTATTTTAATTTATTTATTTTTTTTTTTAAAACCGCTCTGCCTTGGCGATATTTTCCTCCTGGCCCTTTTGTATTCTGATCCGTGTATAGATCTGCCTCTGAAATCTATATAACACCAACGCGAAAACAGATTTCAAGACAATGAATGCAAATCTGTGCTCAGAGACCATCTGCCAGATGAGGGAATCAGATGTTCGGTAGTTAAAGGGACAGCGCAAGGATTTCCTTGACTCATTATGTGCAGCTCCTCTCTTTAACCCGCTTTGTTGGTGTTTTGGGTTTTTTTGGGCTTTTTTTAACGGGATAGAACTATAATTTCCATTTCAGAATAAATCCAGACTCCTTCCATCCACGTTCGGCCGCGTTTCAAAAAGCCACCTATTAAATACTAAATTATTTTCATAGAGTTTCATACAGTTCTCTCCTAAAAGAATCGCAAATTAAAATCTTCCCATAAAACTTTCATAAAAATGTATCCTTAATTCAGGCACGATTGAGGGCAAAGCCGGGACTCCGATTTATTCTGTCTACATAAGTGACAGACATGGTATTGGATGAACTAATACATCTCACCCAATCTTTGTTCAGGGAAATTTGCCATGCTCACCCACCTCCCCAAATTGATAAATATGCAGGAAGTGATTTTGCCGGGTTAGCAAAAGGCGAGCCTGGCGTTATTTTAGCGTTGGAGAAAAGCAACAGCAGTTTGACGGTGCTACAGAGGGGAGGCCGGTCTTTGCAGATACGATCTTAGCATCTTCGAGATGCCATTTCTCGGTGCTAAAAAAGCCCGATCCAACCAAAGGGGGGACGATAAATTAAAAAAAGAAAACCGTGAGACAAGCACAGCGTACGAGATAAATGTACAGGCGATGGGAAGGCATATTATGGTGATTTTTTTTTTTTAACCATTTCGCAATAGGCGTGGGTACATTTCCTCGAATGAAAGCCCCCTCTTTGTCCTAAGGTCGTTTTTGGCGATGCCACTGACAGTTCCTGCGTTTATTCTCAAACCTGAGGCAGGGACGGGAGGGGAGGGGGGCGGAATTCCCACTCGGTGTAACCTTGGCCGATGGATTCACAAGGAGAGGACGTTCCCTAAGAACCGAAGCCTCTCGCTCCTGGGGGATAAAGCCGAGCCTGTCCCTGCAAGGTCGGGGCCAACCCAGACGCTCGCTCAGCTCCAGCCCGGTGGCTCCAGACCCCCGGGACGGTGCCAGCGCCGGGAACAAAAGGGGCTCGTGTGCCGTGGCCCCGGGGGACCCCCGCTTTTAGGGATTCATGGCGGGTCAGAGGGCAGGGCGCGGGTCAGAGGGGATGCGCTCCCCTCTCCCTAAACAGCTGCCACCACAATTCTGCACTTCAGGGACAGAAAATGCAGGGATTCGTCCCCTCCCGGCCCCGGGGTGCCCTCCCCACCATGGTGGGGAAGGAGATAGGGGTCCCAGGGGGGCTGTCGGCCCTGGGGTGCCCTCCCCACGATCCCGGGGGGGGTTTGTGAGCGGTGCAGGGGCTGCACCGCGACCCCGGACCCGCCGTCTCACCTCTCCGGGCAGAGGCAGCGCTTTAGGGCACATAATTTTCTCCCCCCACCCCCAACTAAGTTTCTCGCCTTTAAGACACGCTGCAGAAGGACAGGAGTCCTTAAATACTTCTGAAATTACAGGCTCCTGCTCTAGATTCCGCATTTCAAGCCCAAATCGTGTTTAAACCGAGTGAAAAGCCCTTCTCTGCGACTCTTCAGCTGTAAATTCACCCGGTAAAAGAAGCGTTTGTAGCCGCGCAACCGCCGATAAATCGGGATTTGCACTTTGGAGGTTCCCGGGGTTCGGCTCAGGGAGTCGGATCCAGCGGCAGGTAAAAGGCACCGCGGAACTCCGGGAGGAAAAAAAAAAAACCTTCCAGCCCCGGCGAGGACCCGCCGGTAAAGAGGAGGGAGCCTCCAGCAGCGCATCTTCCGTGCCGTAAATACAATTAGGGGCATAAACGGCAGCCGAAGGTTTGGGGAAGGGGCTCTCGGAGCCGGGAGCGGATCCGACTCCGCGGTTCTCCGCGGTGGGAGCGGCGGGGCGGCCGCGGAGCCCCTTCCCCGGGTGGGGACGGTGCCAGCCGGGCATCCCTCACACCCCCCGGGCCCCCTGAAACTTTCAGGGTTTCATTCCGTGAGTCGCTCCGAGCGATTTTCTTCCTCTTGGCTAAAAAAAAAAAAAAATAGAATTTAAAAAAAAAAAGCAAAGCAACTGGTTCGGTGAGCGCTGATCATTTCCTTCTGGAGGGAGAGCTGTTCCCCTCCAGACTGCCGCGCTCGTTCCCACACGCCGGGGTCAAAATGACAGGTGAGGCAGTTTTGACGTGGTGAAGGGATGCTCGTCTTTGTTAGCGGGTTTTTAGCAGCGTCGTTTCACGCACCGCAGTCAACTTTCACTCCTCGGCACATCTCAGCAACTCCCAGCAGGAAAAAATGTATCTAGGAGATAACACTTAAGGCATTTAAAAAGCATAAGTTTAAACTAGTATTGTTTCCTCTCACGTTTAAGGAGCGAAGTGTCAGGTGAAAAAGTTAAACTGCGCCTAAAGACGACACTGAGAAGGCAGCATTTAATTCTTGTTCCATTTAATTTGTGAGAATTCACCAGCCTTCAGGTGTCTCAAGGGAACGAATTGTAGGTTAAAATTATCAGTGTCGGAATGGAGAAGGATAACTAATCTTTGCCCCTTTATCCACTAATCTCCCTGGAAGGTTCATTTTTCCAACACATCACTACCGGAAAGGTAAATGTGCCCGTTAGAAACGTTCCTTCAAGCTGGTAACAGCTTAAAGTTTTAAGCCACCCGTGTTCAAGCACACATCAGTCACACTTTGGGCGCTATAACGGTGTCTGACAAACAAAGAAGTTCCCCGAAAATAACTTCCAAGAGCCCAAGATAAGCATCAACCAAAGATTTGCGTGCACGGGATACCCCGAAACAGAAACGGGGCTGCGAGAAACAGGAGCAGGCTGAGTCCTGAACTGAGGAATGAGGAGGGTGTGGAGGCAGTCGGAGCT